AATGCATTTGATTTTCAAAAACTCTTAAAGTCTTCTTTTTATTTCTTTTTGGAGAGTACCTGATAATAGACTAGAACACAAAAATGAAGATAATCTATATGCAAAGACCAAAGAATGGACTTAACTAATGCAATTAAGGGCTCTTGAATATACAATATTCAGCACTTATCACACCCCCAAACAACATTTTGCTAGTCCCTTAGCAAAACAAAAATGAAATATACCATAAATTATCCATATTTCTCCTCTTTCGTGGGAGTGACGATTGCATTTAGCATATGCAACAAGCTTTTTAAACCTCTAGGTATCCTTAGAGGACGAGTGAAGTCTCGTGAGGGTTTACCAAAAATGATACCCACAAGCATTAAGCAACAAGGCTCATTCTAGTATAAATTGAAACATATGACTTTGGGGGAAAGACTCTATCATAAAAACTACAACAGGTAAGAATACAATGACATCTCAAAATAATGTTCAATTTTCAGCATTCATGCATCAACAAACTAGTCCACATACATAATCCTCAACATCTCATTTATAATAAAATTTCATCTCAAGTTCCTTAAAAGTGAACCGAAATTTCATTTTATTTTAAAATGCACTTTTAAACCTTTTACGCTCATTCAATGTCTTCCACATCATTAATTCATCTTTTGAAATCATAATCTAAGGCATGAATTTATTTGAACACATTTTTTGTTGCTTTTTTAATTTTATTTTATTATCATGCATGACCATGTGCAATGTCTAAGTTACTTAAGCTCTCTAATCACCCCATGTAATAAGTGTTAAGCCAATGACTCCCAAACCAGATGGTCTTAGGGTATTAAGTGTAAAGACACTCCTAAGGGCGTAATGACTCAGAATGGTTAGGCTACAAATTCAAACTAATTATACATCTTACATTCTTTCTTTATCTACCATTTTAATCAGTTAACATGTTGAAAGAATGCAGTTTTATTCATTTTTTTCAGTGCTAAGGGTTATTTCATTCATCCGACTTACTAATTTAGGGAGCTAATTAATTAAAACCATAAGGAAGGGAATGCAATTTCTGGTGTGCTCAATGTGCATTGTGGAGTCACTTAGAGATGAAAGACTCCAAAATAAAACATGTAAGTCAAGCAATGGATTTTTTTTTTATATGAACAAGCATGCTAGCAACTTTTAATCATTCATTGATATCATATATAAGCATACAAATTGTATTAATCACATAGATCCCCTTCCCCAAACTTAGTTCCAACAACACCAAAAATCATTTGCCTAAACATAGATTTTTTTTTTTTTTTTTTTTTTTTTAAGATATAAACAAAAGAAACACATCTGACAATGACAATATGCATATGAATAGTTAGCTCTCAACACCCCCAAACTTAAATGATACATTGTCCCCAATGTATGAAAACAAGTATAGAAACTAAACATGCATAGAAGTGTAAAAAGAGATAAACTACCGAGTGCAAAACCGTGACTCCATTGCATCTATTCGTAGTAAAAATGCCAAAGTTCTTCCCCCAAATTTGTACCTGATAATCTGTCCATATAAACTAGGTACCAAGCATAAAAGCATAGACATAGATAAAGATATAAATCTGAAATAACATGTCATACTTTATTAAAATCGGGAAAGAAGTCAAAATATGTGCACATCAAAAAATGCACCCACAATTGTCATACCAAACATGGCCCAAAACATAGAAATATTCAAAACACAAAACAGAAACAAATAGCATGAAATAAAAGCCAAAAGAGCAATAAGATGCTCAATCCTCCATCAAAGTGGATTAATATGGACCCGGACCTGCACCACCACAGTCAATAAGTGACTGCACCATTGCCTGCAAAAGCTGATGTCCCTTTCTAGTCTTCTTACGAAAGTCAATAAGGGTGCCCTCCATAGTACCAACCTGCAGCTGAAGAGTGTCAAGCCTGGTGTTGAGAGAGTTGTACTCTGCTTTAGTCACAACAGGTGGCTGTGGGCCAACAGGTGCAGGGTCATCATGCTCATCCTCCATATGAATATCCATATTGCCCCAATAGAACTCATCACCAATGCGGAGTTGTCGACCTTTTTTCAATTGGGACTGGCTTTTCTTCCATTCAGTGAGGTTGTAAAGATACACATCCTCCTTTTTTTCCTCCTTATGGCGCACTTTGTGCCTCTTGTTCTTGAGCATCTTCATGATTAAATAGGGAAAGGGGAACGACCATGTCATGGCATTATCCAATTGTGTAACAATGAGATCACGATAGAGCTTCAGAATCTGGTCCCAAATGAGTTGCAGGACACAAAACCAATAACCTCTTTCCGCTGCATAGAGGGTATTCAAAAAAGTACCCTTTATTTCAGAATGCCTAGCAACCGAAAATACATTCTTAGCAAGGATAGAGTCCAAAAACCAAAGCCGGCATAAAATGTATGACTTATTAGTGCTAGTTGTGCGACGAATTGTGAAATTGTTATGACAAATTTCACGCACAATGTCTGGTAAGGTAATGGTGTCAGGGAAAACGTCATAGATAGGCTCATTTTCGTCATTCAAAGGGAAGTCAAAGGACAATCCTAAGCTGTGGCAGTGTCATTAATAGTGAACGCATAAGGTATGCCATCAATTGTTGTCATTATCACATTTGGCTCAGCGCATGAGTAGGACATGTTAGGAGTAAAATTGTTGGATGATACGCAAAAAGAAAACATGAGCACATGGCTTAAATAAAGCGTCGAGATCACGATTCTTCAACTCCATAACAAACCAAACCGTTTCCAGGTGGTCTTTGAATTCATGCTCAATGGTGAATTCGTACTCAAATTCAATTGAACATTCAGACCAATCCGGAGCAGGAGCCTCCTCAGAAGGCCCTTCGGAATTGCGAGGACGCTTGGAAGTAGCAGTAGAAGCCATTTAAGTGAAGAAATTTGGTTCAGGACTTTTGTCAAACACGTGGTGTGCAAGACAGAAAAGTAAAGAACAAGTAGGAAGATTAGAATGAGGAAAGCCTAAAATTCATAAACCTGTAATTAAATTACAACAATCCCCCAAACAACATATAAATCCTCCACAATATCAAGCCCCAACTTCCATGAAATACCCAAGAATTTAAAGGATGGAAAGGGAAAGAAACTTTCTTCAATTTGGAATTCTAAACTTTGCCCCTTTTGAAGGAATGGTTATGATGGGAAGTCAAGAAAAAGGAAATAACGAAGATGTAGAAAGTGACAGAAAAGATTTAAAAGGTGGGGAAGGTAGGATGTGGAGGTAGGAAGGGTCAAGAGAAAAGATGGAAGGAATGAAAAGAAAAGTAAAGAGAAAGGGAATAAGTTATAGCAATTTGAATGGGCTCAGGTTCCTCTTTAGGCTATGGCATCCGGACGCAAAGGCTGGCATCCTTCAGTTATGTGCGCAGCTGGTGGGGTAATTTGAACATAGCGTCCAGACGCATGTATTGGCTTCCGGACGTGACAGTGCCTAGGTGTTGGCGTTTGGATGCGGGAGATGGTGTCCGTATACGGGAAGACTCATAAATGGGCATCCAGACGCAAGGATTGGCATCTGGGTGCAATTGTGCCTAGGTATTGGCGTCGGGACGCAAAGGATGGCGTACGGACGCAAATGTGCCCAGGTAGTGGTCTGGAGATAAACACGAAAATTCCCAAATATGTTACCGAAACCATAATATGACTATAGAAACCCACGATGACCACTGGAATGGAAATCTAGATGATTCTCGATAAATGCAAAATGGAGTCTCTACTTAGGCAATTTCAAAAAGTTGTGGTTTACGGTAACAACGATATAAGGAAGCTTGGAATAGAAAGAATTGCTTCCTTAGAGTGCTAAATTTAACGTCGATAACTAGACGATATGGGAATCTAAGTAATCCTCATAAATTGGATCCGTCAAGATGATAGAATCTACATATCTGACCAGGACTAGGTTATTAATGTAGGGCTTAAGCCGCTGGCCATTGACCTTAAAAAGATTCCCATTCTTTAGGTCTTACAACTTAACAGCACCTTGAGGGAAGACATAAATGATAAGAAAATGACCTTCCCACCGTGAACGGAGCTTCCAAGGAAAGAGTTACAAACGGGAATTGAAAAGCCAAACTTTTTAACCCAAAGCAAAAGACTTCTTGACAATATGTTTGTCATGGAATACTCTAGTCTTTGCTTTGTAAAATTTGGCACTTTCATAAGCGTCATTCCGGATTTCTTCTAGCTTATTGAGTTACAATTTCCAGTTAAAGCTGGCCTGATCAAGATTGAAATTGAACCTTTTTATGGCCCAAATGGCATGATGCTCTAATTCAACCAGGAGGTGACATGCCTTACCGTAGATGAGCCGGTATGGAGACATGCCAATTGGCATCTTAAATGCGGTTTGGTAAGCCTAAAGCGCATTATTTAGTCATAATAACTAATCTTTGCGGTCCGATTTAACCGTCTTTTCAAGGATATTTTTTATTTCCCGATTTGAGACTTCTACTTGACCACTCAATTGAGGATGATAAGGCGTGGCAACCTTGTGAGTGACTGAGTACTTAAGGAGGATGGATTGAAGATAGCGATTACAGAAATGAGATCCTCCGTCACTTAAGAGTGCTCTAGGTGTACCAAACCGACTGAATATGTTCGTTTGAATAAACTTGACCACTGCAACGTGGTCATTACTTATGGTTGCCTCAGCTTTCATCCATTTAGAAACATAATCCACCATTAAGAGAATGTAAACATAGCCATAGGAAGATGGAAATAATCCCATAAAATCTATTCCCCATACATCAAAGATTTCGACAATTAAAATTGAGTTCAATAGCATTATGTCTCTTTTAGACATAACCCCAAGCTTTTGGCATTGCTTACAAGACTTACAAAAATTGTAAGCGTCCCTGAATAATGAAGGTCAATAAAATCCACTTTGAATGACTTTAGATAAAGTCTTTTTAGTACTGAAGTGTCCTCCACATTCGAGAGTGTGGCAGAATTTCAAAATATTTTAGACATCATATTCAGAAATGCATCTCCGGATTATTTGATCCGAGTAATACTTGAACAGTTCAGAGTCTTCCCAAAAGAAATTTTTGATTTGAGTAAAGAACTGATCTTTCTCTTGCTCAGACCATTGGGATGGAATTTTTCCAACCGCAAGATAGTTGACAATGTCAGCAAACCAAGGAGGCGACACATGAGAAATCTGGAACAGTTGCTCTTCCAGAAAGGAATCATGAACTGGAGAAAAATTAGAAGTGTTCTCAATGAGAAGCTGAGAGAGATGATCTGCTACGACATTGTCAGTACCTTTCTTGTCCTTAATCTCAAGGTTAAACTTTTAGAGTAAGAGTATCCAACGAATGAGTTGAGGTTTGGTCTCTTTCTTTGCAAATAGATGCCTTAACGCGGCATGATCCGTGAAAACAATGACCTTGGATCCAATAAGATATGAACGAAATTTGTCCAAGGCATAGACAACAGCTAGCAACTCTTTCTCAGTTGTTGTATAATTCAATTGAGCATCTGAGAGGGTCTTGCTAGCATAGTAAATGGCATGAGGAGTTTTATCCACACGCTGGCCCAAAACAGCACCTAATGCATAGTCGGATGCATCGTACATGATCTCAAAGGGAAGAGACCAATTAGGTGGTTTCATGATTGGGGGCAAGAGAGAGTAGTGAACAGAGCTTCTTAAAAGCTTCCAAACACGCTTCATCAAAGCTTAAAGTAGTATCCTTGGCAAGAAGATAGCACAAAGTCCAGGATATCTTGTTGAAGTCTTTGATGAAGAGGCGATAAAAGCCAGCATGGCCAAGAAAAGAACGAATTTGTCTCACCGAAGAGGGAGGAGGAAGGCTGTGAATTAATTTAACTTTTGCCTTATCGACCTCAATCCTTCTTTTAGAAATAATGTGTCCCAAGACATTCCCTTCTTGTACCATGAAGTAACTCTTTTCCCAACTTAAGATCAGATTTGTCTCCTTACATCTTTGAAGCATAAGGGACAGATTATGGAGACAAAAATCAAAGGAAGATCCAAAGACGGAGAAATTGTCCATGAACACTTCAAGAAATTTTTCGACCATATTAGAAAATATGGACATCATGCATCTCTAAAAAGTGGCCAGTGCATTACATAACCCAAAGGGCATGCAACGATAAGCGAAAGTTCAAAAAGGATAAGTGAAGGTGCTCTTCTCTTGATCTTTAGGATTTACAGCCACTTAGTTATAGCCAGAATAACCATCAAGAAAATAATAAAAACTTTGGCCGGCTAACCTTTTTAGGATTTGATCAATGAATAGAAGCGGAAAATGATCTTTCCTAGCTGCAGAGTTGAGTTTCTGGTAATCTATGCACACACGCCAACCAGTAGTGGTGTGATGTGGCACAAGTTCTCCCACTGAATTTTCAACAACGGTGAGGCCGAATTTCTTTGGACCAACTTACAATGGGGCTTACCCATTTGCTATCCGAGATGGGGTAGATGATCCCCGCATCTAATAGCTTGATTACCTCTTTCATGACAACCTCCCTCATGTTAGAATTCAACTGGTGCTGCACCTTTAGGGAAGGTGTCACGTCTTCCTCTAAAAGAATGTGGTGCATGCAAATAGAGGGGTCAATTCTTTTTAAATTAGCCACCAACCAACCAATAGCTTCTTTGTGCTCTTGTAACACCACTAAAAGGTTATTTTCATGGTCTTTGGAAAGATCCGATGCAATAATGACCGGAAGAGTTTTGTTCGTACCAAGAAATACATACTTGAGATTAGCCGGGAGTGGCTTTAATTCAAGTTGAGGTGGAGATTTCAACGAAAGGATGGGAGGAGTGCTGAAAATTAATGGAAGAGGTTCCTTTAGCACTTCCCAAGAAGGAAAGTCCGAGATTGCATTAGCATCAAGCAAAAAGTTGACTTCACGAATGGATTGATCAATATCATAATTTTCGAAGCAAAATGAGCCAAGCAAGTTTCAAAAGGATCTTGACCTAGAATTAATGGGAGATATTCTTCGACCATTTCATCTATGATGTTAAGAGAGAAGCATTCATATTCCTCCGGAGGATGTTAAGAGGCATTAAAGATGTTGAGCTTCACCTTCATATTTCTAAAAGAAACATCCATCACCCCGGTTCGGTAATTAATGGAAGCATTATCCGTGGCTAAGAAGGGCCGACCAAGGATTACGGGAATATGTTTTTTTGGATTATGGACCGGTTCAGCATCTAGAACCAAAAAGTCTACTGGGAAGTAGAAGTTGTCCACCTTGATGAGTACATCCTTAATGATACCATGAGGTTGTTTTACGGATCTATCCGCAAGTTGTAAGATAACCAAAGTGAGTTTGAGTTCTCCTAAGCCAAGTTGTAAGTAAACTGAGTAGGGAATTAGATTTACACTCGCTCTTAAGTCAATGAGGGCCTTTTCTATCTCATTGTCTCTAATGACACACAAGATTGTTGGGGCACCCGGATCCTTAAACTTTGGAGGTGTATTGTGCTGAATGATAGCACTTGCTTGCTCATTTAACCTCACCTTCTTAGGAATATTGCTCTTAGAAATGCGTTCTTGAGTACACAAATCCTTGAGAAATTTAACATAAGGTGGAATTTGCTTAATGGCATTAAGGAGAGGAATATTGATCTTTACTTGCTTAAAGACTTCAAACATTTCCTGAATTTTATCGTCCTTGTTCCCAAAGTGTGTAGACTATTTTAGGCATTGAGGAAAAGGAGCCTTGGGCTCATAAGATATCTCAACATTTGGGATTGGCAGATTTGGAATTTCTAGACTAACTTTCAGATTTTTGGATGAAAAACTTGAATTCTTGGGAGCAAGAGTTTTAGTTTTTTCATTCACTTTATTGTCCACAATTCTTCCACTCCGAGGTGTGGTGATTGCTTGGACTTGCTCAAGATTTGAGCCACTCGAATGAGTGATTTCATCAATCATATATTGCCATTTCGGGTTCACCACAGGTTGAGCTGGAAGTTTTCCCGTGTCCCTCTTGTGAAGCTGATTCACAAAAGTAGCCAATTGTCCCAGTTGGGTTTCAATGTTAGCTATTGATTGGGAATGAGTATCAACCAATTGCACAGTTGATTGCATACCACTAATGGCAGCCATTATCTGCTTATTGGAGTTTAATATCTCATCCAATTGGGACAGGTGAGGAGGAGTAGGATTTTGATTAGAAGAGCTCGCATTATTGGAAGGAGGACGGTAACTTGAAGAAGCTTGAAATGGCCAGTTCATGGGCTAAGAATTAGATTGAGTTGATTGTCCATGACCTTGAAATGATAAATTTTGTAGGGCATGTTGCCTCCACGAGAAATTTGGATGATCTTTCCAACCCGGATTGTATGTATTGGAATAAGGATTATTTCCAGGGCGAGAGAACATGGCATTGGCCTATTCTGGCATACCTCCAGAAAATTGCTCCGGTGTGGGGTAATCTTTTGCATTATGAAAAGTGCTCGTGCAATGTGCACACACAACACTGGATGAAGAATTCTGAGAAGATGAGAGATGTGGTGCCACAACCTAAAAAAACTTTGTGGCTTATGGTATCCACTTGAGAGGATTCTTCCCTAAGAGTCCATGGTTGGCATGGATTTGAGGGTTTACCAACATTAGAAGTAGAAGCTTTACGAGAACTATGTTGCATAGAATTTTTGCTTATATTCTCAAGTAGAGTCCATGCATCATCTGGATTTTTGGACATGAACATGCCCCACACGAAGAATCAATAAATTGTCTATGTGGTTCCATTAAACCATCATAGCAGGCTTGCACCAATTGCCACTTTGGAATTTGGTGGTGCGGACACTTCCTCAGAAAATCTTGAAGTCTTTCCCATGTCTCATAAAATATTTCCCCATCGATTTGGGAAAAACTAAGAATGGATCAAAGCATTTGGTTGGTCTTACTCATAAGATAGTACTTTTTAAGGAATTCTTGTTGCAATTGAACCCACGAAGTGATGGAATTTGCAACAAGAGAGTTCAACCAATACTTTGCTCTATCTTTCAAAGAGAATGGAAGAGAATCATATGAAGTGCATTTTGGGGGAAGTCCCTCATCTTGATGGTGGAGCAGATTTCCAAGAACTCATCAAGATGTTTATAAGGGTCCTCATTATCAAACCCATGATAAGTTGGAAGCATTTGGATTGTGGTGGACTTGATCTGATAATGATGAGCCTCAACATTGGGCATGACAATGCATGATGGAGATGTAAATGTTGAGGGTACAAAGTGATCCCCAAGAGTCATTAGGGCTACATTTTCATTTTTAGGTCTAAGATTTTCAACTCTAGGATTTTTGATATTAGCATTTTTAAGATTAGCTTGTTCATCAGCCATATTGTCTTCTTCGATTTCAAGTTCTCTTATAGTTTCGAGATCCCTAAGGTTCCTTCTTTGTTGCCTAAGAGTCCTTTCAAGTAAGGCAATATCAATTAGTTCCTCAATATGTGGTAGAGACAATGACCTACAACTTACCATCAACTATCAAGCACAACAATCACAATAACCCTTCACCAATACATCCATATACATTAATCCATTTCTCCACAATTCAACAATAATGAAAATAGATTGAAATGGCCACGACAAGGACTTATGCTCTGAACAAAATAGAAAATTACAATAGCCTCAACAAGGGCCAACCAACAAATAAACTAGAAACTTCAAAAACTTACCCAAAGTCCTTAAGACTTTAAATTTTGCAATCAGTTCACCTGGAAAGTCTTTAGTTCCTAGAAACACAAAAACACACTAAAAAAGAAAAAAAAAACGCGTCAAAATAAATAAATAAATAAATATATATATATATATATATATATATATATATATATATACACACAATCAAGCACAAAGCAATTTTTAAACTTTGATTACAAAACCGTATGCAATCCCCGGCAACAGCACCAAAAGTTGATGGCAAAAATTTGTTACCACTTAAAATTACCACCTGCAATAGCACATATATCAATGTAGAAAAGGGTTATTATAGGGTTTGTCAAACCACAAGGATTGCTAGCTTATGGCAACCAAAGTTATAAAATCACTTTTTAGTTTGATAAAAGAGATGATAGTTTGATTGAGTTGTCACTTTAAGCTATGAATTGAAATTTAACAAAAATAGAAAATAAATTAATTTAAATGGAATTAAACTCATAAAGATAAAGGCTAGGGAATTGACTTCACCAAAACCTCATAAACATGTTAACTTGAATTCAAATTAGGGATAAACAACTATGTATATAAAATGATGTGTAGAAGTATAAAACAACCACAACATCTTCTAGAAATTCATACATTTCAGAACTAAACATAACCCATCTTTGGTTGGAATGGTTAATCCACCTAAACTAAGTTATGGTATGAACCATCTTCCCTAGGCATGGCCTATCAAGGTCCTTCAATTGTATGTTAAAGCACATGAAATTCAATTATATATCATAAATTATCTTCAGTTGGTATGGACCATCTACCTAACATAAATTAACCTAAAGGTATAGCATAATCCGTCTTCCTTAAGTATAATCTATACAAATTCTCAATTAACATGCCAATATAACCATTTATAAATTCATTCCCATTGTCACTATAGGAATGTCAAGTGCATAATTGTGCCAATACGATTTCTAAGACAAGATAAGCATATCAACATAATTATATATTCAAATGAAGATAACATACATTAATTGAATTTAAAAACACATTAATTCAATGTAAACAACTTCTAATTTATGAAATCAAATATATACAAGATGAATTCCCAAATTGAAAAGACAATTACAACATGTTTACTTGGTCTAGGTTACATCAACTCCCTAGAAAGGGAGTTAGTTCCTCATGGACATGGCAACAGCTTTAAGGATTGAAGAAGAAGAAGAAGATAAATTCTACTCCAGCCCCATGAATGAAGAACAACACATAAACCTTAAGAAAATCCCCTCTCTCTACAATATATTTTTCAATAATAATAATGATACCTTTCCCTAGCCTTTTGCCCCTTCTTAATGCAATTAAGGGCGCTTGAATATACAATATTTGGCGCTTATCAATAAAGATGAAGACCACAACAATACAGATGATATCTTGCGTCGTCATGAGTAGCTAATTCCACTCTTAGGACATTGATGTAGCCCAAATCCGAATATTATGGTTTTATTATTATATACTTTGGGGATTTAATATATTATGTATTTTGATTGCATGATTATGGGCAATTGACTTAATTCAATTGGTTTTTAACGATTACATAGTTTTTGAATGATTAATACATTGTCTTAGATTTAATTGTTATTAAATTATATTCAATCCATTCTTATTAGACGGTATAAGGCGGAGGCCTATCAGTCATAAGAATAGAGATCATGCAATGGTATTGAAACGTTTTTCATGAATGAATGTTTTCATAATCTATGTCTAGGGAAGACAAGTTATACTGCAAAATTAGTTAGCAGTAGGTAGGTAGATAATTCGTGCCAACTGAAGATAGGTTATAGTTAATTGAAATTCATGGAAC